GAAGTAGAATCATTGTAATGTGACGATCAAATATAGGTGCGGACTCGGGTGAAGTTTGAGCTCATCCGCGCATCTCTACGCTACACTGACCTGGGTGGCCAGTAGCAAACAATGGAGCACGCTCTGCCGGACAAACTAAGTAATTACACCATTCAGAAGCATTTAATCTGCGTTATGTTATGTAAAAAAAATGTTCATAACGGCGGCATATTCGCCGATTCCGATATATCTGCGACAGGCTCATATCGGCCGATAATATCTGCAAAACGATATATCAGTCGGGCTCTAGTAGCAGGGCCTCTACCTATGATCCTGGATTCATGAATAACGAATGTTAGCTGGCATTGTGCCCTTTACCCTCAGAAATCAGATTGCACTGCACACCTCAGTGATGGACGTTATGACCGATACAGGCCTTGTGAGGAAGCAGTGCTCTGCCTAATCTGGCCTGGTGGATTATTTCAGTTAAATACTCACATAAGGGATCTTGTTACTTCTTTCGTACGTCACTATATTGATACCACTCAAAAATTCTAGTTAGGTGTTTGTCCTGCGTTTGTTTGCATTTTCTTTTTCTTTTTTGGGATTAATTTTTAAAATTATTTTAGTCTATTTTAGTTCATTTGAACTTTATAAAATAATTTCACCATTAGACATTCTCTTTATGTAAGACTTTTTTGGCTATTTATTTATTTTTAAAGCATTTTAAAAAACTAATTGTTTTACATGGAGTTTTCAAGATTCAGTGAAATCATTGCAATATCTCATATCTGTTGTGCACTTTTTAAATCTATTTTTGAAACATTTTGTTTTTAAATTTAAACTTCAACCTTAAAGTTTAAAAAGTTAAAAAATCTCCTATTGATTTACATTGAAATTTCAGTATTCAGTGATGTAATCGTAGTATTTGTTTACTTCTATTGCAAGTAATCTGTCTGCAAAATTCCTGTCAATTTCCATCTACATCAGTGTCAGAAGATGAAAACATCATGAAATGCGTGTTGGTTGCAGTAAACGTAACACAATGACCTGTACGTAACGGCTGTCTTATATCTGTAACAATATATTTGTGTTTATGCCACCTGGCTTCCCATATGCCACAGTCTGTCAGGCACGTCAATGGGATAACATGGTGAATCTGACACAGTGGCTTCGGCTGCACAGAAGCATGTGTTAGGAGTGTATTAAAATCAGGATGTATAATGTCTTTAGTGTCACT